TTAATAACAGATATGATTCAATGCAGAGAGGTCTGTTAACACATAGTGAGTGAGAAAGGTGACTGGAAAGGAAAAATTCAATGCATCATGGGAATCCCCGGAAGCCTAACAGAAAGTGTGCTTCGGATGAAGCACGAGAAGATTGTACTATGAAAAAAGAATGTATTTAAAAGTTTTTAATTTGCTAAGCAAATAAGCTCCTCAGAAACACCACTGTGTTTGAGCAGGAACAGGAAGTGATAACAAACACCTCAGTGGCTTCAAGCGTAGGCTTAACCTCTACAGGTGTCTTTACTGAAATATTCTTGACAGATGTAAAGACCCAAACTCCAGGTTCATTTTATGTAATAACTGAATCCTGCCTGATTGTTTTCCCATTTAAAAAAAAAAAAAAAAGGCCTTAAGAAAGCTCACCTGTGTCCCAGGATACTAGTCAATGTCAACCACTGTACTATTGAGAGCATTCTCACCAACGGCATATCAGTGTAGTACAACAATTTTACCACAGATGGTTAAATAACACTAAACCAGATGGTAAAAAAAATTGCCCAATGTATCACTGGCACTCATTTGGCCAGCACAGCCCACTGAATGGTCATTAATCAATGGGCTTTGATTAGTGCTAGTTGATCAATGGTCATGACAATTTGCATATTAATGATCAAGGAACTGACCTCACAGCTTATTGTTCATTCAGTGGACTAGTTTCAGTCATTGTGCAAATGTACTGTTTATAAGGTTGGGGAAACCTGCAGTCAGCTGAGACTAAAGAAGTCACTTGGATGAGTGACGATTCTCCCACTGAAAGCACTACGTCCAGATCAACAGAATCAACCTTTTGGGATATACTTACCTGGATGATTGAGCATGCATCAAGATACCCATTTCTTTATTTGCAAGTTCACCATATAATTGATTTGGCAGATTTTTACACAAAAGTTAACTTTTTTACAAAACATGTAAACCACAACATTATAGAGCTAAAGAGTGTCCTCGAAAAAAGAAAGAAAAAACTTAAATCCTATTAAACAAGTTAGTTTAAGAAAATGGAATATGACCTGATATTGTTTGACTTATTGAGTTCTTTTGCAGCACCAAATATCAATAAGATTCACTTTAACTTCCATTTTGAATCCCCCCTTCAGTTTTCTGTAGACAACCCATACTAGACGCTCCTTTACAAAATCAAGGGACCCTGTGGTAGAACTTGACCTAAGTGGCTAAAGAAGGGCAGGAGACAGATCCTGTCCAGTGTAGTGAGCGATTTATTTACCATTTTTGTGACCAAACAATATTGACAAAAATAAATAAAAAACTCAACTCCATAGTTAACTCAGTTCAAATAAACATAACTGAACTTTTTGTGGACCACACTCCCTTCCCTTTTTTAATTCTTTCACTTCTTATTAGTACATGGCCCAAGAGTTGCCACCAGTCCACTCTGAGGCCTTCCCCAAACTGCAGCTCAATTCATGTTTAAGCCTTTTGCCTTTATCGATAAAAACACTGTCAAATATAAAATGAGGACGTGGGCCCAGCTAGCGAAACAACAATGGTCACTGAGTTTTGTCCTTACAGTTTATCCTCAGACAAAAAATGATTAATCCTGAGGGCAAAACATTCAAACCAGTCTGACAAAGAACCAAAAACAGTTGCATCCTTATCCCCAGGCCCAGGTTATGATGCCACAAGAGCAATGCCTTTTCTTCTTTTCCCCACATTATGACTAAGATGATCAACAGCGACCCTCAGGACCAGTAGCGGTTTTAGATACGGGCGACACCTGCGGTTGCCCGGGGCGGCATCAAGGGCATCGGCAAAAAAAAATGCTCGTACTCATGCTGCCCCGACGTCAGCCAGCGCATATTGGGGATGGCATAGGCACCGATTGGTTTTCTATCGCCCATTTGCTGGGAGTAAGGGCAAAGACTGTGCAGTGAAAATAAAGTGTTAAACAGTAAAGAAGAGTCGAATAGAGATTTAAGTGGTATCGACTCGGAAATAGATCCAGTTTAAAGCATCGAATTAAGGCAATGAGTAGAAACTTAGCTCTAACAGAAATCGGACACGCATTATAAGAACGTTTGTATTAGTTTTAATACTCCATTGAAATATTATATTTACCGTTAATTAACTTGAGGAAGCGGTGTAGTCAGGGCGTTCCTCCTGCTGTAGTCCGAGAGAAGACAGATGCATCTCCGTTTATTTCCTACTGCGCCTAGTAACTGATTTTACTACCTCGCCCGCAACGCGTAGACGGGAAAAAAACCCCAGAAATAATGGCTTGTGGTGTTCTGTGTATCACGTCGCACTCGTTTCCTTCGCAATATCTTTTCAGGCAGTAACTACTTTCATTTTACACGAATATTTTATATTTTACTCCACACTTCTGGGTAGATTTTGATGACGTTTATAATATATTTGAGTGGATTCTAGTGCATTTAAATTGTGTCAGTCCATTGTAACTGTGTTCTCATAGTGCAGTGCATTACGAAAATGACATTTTACATATCTGTGGTAAGATTTTGAACTGTTTTGAACAGATCAGCAGAAGTCAGGCAAAGATCGTCTTATATAACTGAGTGTTTAAAAAAACAAAAATCCACTCAAATCACATAATCATGTGCATAATATTCCTATTTTTCAACTGTAACTGTGGTTTTGTAACAGGAGGTAAAATAACTGCTTATTCAGATTGACCGACGCTGTCAAGGGCTAGGTCTGTGACCCAGTGTTTGAGTTCTTATATGTATCTTTTGTATTCATTTGTGCCCTAGTTTAGCTCACCTAGTTAATTTCTAGATTGCT